CGGTGCAGGGGAAGCGGGGCCCGGGGCAGAGCCCGGCAGCTGGGAGCTGGGCAGGCAAAGGGTGGTCGTGCTTGCAGCCCCGCTGCCCCCGACTATTTGAAAATCGAGGCCGAAACGAACATTTTCAAGCAGGGAGAGGGACGCCTCGGTGTACATGCTGGGGTCCCGGGAAGGGAGCTCCACACTGAACTGGCCGCCACCGCGGTTAGCAGTTTTCCTTGGCCCGTCCAAGTGTCCCAGCGATGTTCTTGGAGGGGAGCTGCTTCGGAGATTCAGCTGCGAGCAGCGGCTTCCCACATAACATTTATTCTCACAAAAAAACCCAAAATAACAAACAAAAAACCAAACCCAAAACTTTCTGATTCATGAACTTGTAAAAGATAAAGCATTTGCCTTAAATGGGCAGCTACAAGCAAAACCATGACTGTCCAAATGTCTCAGCCCCCTTGTTTGAATTTAAACATACAAAGATACTAACTAACCTCAGCAAAGGAAGCTATATATTTCCTCAAGTTTAAAAATAACTTGTTTTGCTTTCTGACAAGTGAGGTAATAGTGGGCCTCTGAGGTGGGCATATGCCACTTTCATACTCATGGAGGAGTAATCCCTTCTTCTGATGCTCTGTTCTGCAGTTAGGACGCACATTCTGTCCATGTTTAGTATTTAATAGCTCCTTCAGCAACTAAACTTGTCTTGGGAGGGAAGACAGGTACGTTCAGATGATCTTCAACACAAATACGGTGCTAGTATAAATAATTTAGATGAGCAAGACAGCGCTTGCCAGTGTAGGCATTAGTCTGCAATAGTCTAAGCAGTACATAGTTTTGGTCTTCTACTAGGCCAGGTAGTAGTTGCAATAAAAGATACTCCCTTTCCTACCAAATTTTCTCTCATATCATTAGGTATCAACAACATTGCCAATTACACAAGAGTAAAATGCTAGCTGCTGAGAAACAGCTTTTTTTTTTTTTTAACAGCTGCTTCTTTTCCGCCCCCATCTTCTTCTCCCTGTAGTTCAAGTTCAGAAACACACACATTCAGTTTTCTTGCAAGCCCTGTGGAGGAAGGTTCTAGTAACTTTTGTACTTCTTATTAAGAAATACATTTAGCTTCTTTAGTTCTTAACATCTTTTGAAAGTGTGTATGTGGCTGGGGCCCTGCTGATCGGAGTTCAGCCCAATGAAATACAAATACCTTTAACTTAATACAAGTAGAATAACAGTCACATTTTCTACTCAGAATTACAGGCATCTTCTGTAAGCCACCAGCACAAAGTCTGTCTAAAACACTGTTGAATTTGAAGTTTATATTACAGTTCTTGTGCAATTTACTTCATCTTGTCAAGTGTACCATGTATGATGATAAGAGGTATTAACAGCTCCCTAATAATTGAAACTTCATGGCCATAACTTGACATAAAGTATCCATATGTATGTGAGTGGTATTTTTCAGAGAGACTGTTTGTCTGAAACAAGTTACTTATAATGTGAAATACCTTCATTTTGCAAGTTGATTTGTATTTTGTTTATTCTTCTAAATATCTGTATAAAATTCTTGTAAGAATTTCACTAATGATTTAATCACTTACCAGTTGTTCTTTTAAATAAGGTTTCTTTCAACCTTATGAACACTAAGCAACACCTGCAGCCACAAATCTTGTTTTAATTGTTATATGGTAAAACATAGCTAGCTTATCTTCTTTATCAATATTAGAATATACAAAGGCATAAGTCATAGTTTGCAAGTCAGTATTTAAGACTAATGTGCTGGAAGAAACAGATAACCTTTTGTGAGCTTATGCCTTTCTTGAGGCCAGAAATAGGAAGAGCAAACTTCAGAAGTCATTTTCAGCTTGTACCAATTCCTCCAATTTTAAGTAGGTATTCAGAACACTTGAAAAACAGACAGTTGGTACCTGGGGAACAGCTGAGAAATGAGACAGATGACAATAATAATTTTCTTACTTCCCATGCTCTTTCTAACAGAAAAGAGCAAGGCAGATATGTTACAGTTTGCTAAAAAAAGCAAGGCCCGGCGTAAAGCAAATTTCTGCCTAGTACTTATTTTTCATATTTCAGGATTAAGGATTCGACTCACATATTTGCCTTTGGAAGACATTCCACACATCTTCCCTTGAGGATCAGTGCTGAAGACTCAGAGAGGTGGTAGATACTCTGCCAGAATCATTGCTTAACTGGTGGTAATAGTGTGGTTTTGTCCTTCATTAATGGGTTTATTCTGACATGTAATACAGAGTTTCCATGACAGTTTTTGGTAAACTGGAAGAAACCCATTACTCCCTCTTTCTGCCTGTATCCACAGATGTTGTCTGGGTTATGACTACACCAGACCATCACGGTTATCACAAAATCATGAAACATCTGTGCAAACATGGTCACATCCTTTGGACTTACGACAGGTACATCAAATATAATTTAAGAAAGAATTTCTGTTACTATGAAAGCATTTTTACTAATGAGAAATCACTGATGAGATTTTAATTTTGGCTATATTTCTAATCACCTTTTATCAGTTGACATTTGGATCGTTTTTAATGCCTTTGATTTTTTTCCAGCAATGGAAAAGAGCATATGACACATTTTATCTGTGCAGATAAAATGCCTAGTTGGTAACCCTTCTTCCTGCTCACAACTGGATAATTTTAGCAAGCAGCAGACAGCCTGACCTTTGTTGTACAGGCCAGATGCAATCTGCAGACAAATATAGGGTTTTAAATAATATCTTGGCTTCCCTTACACTAAAATCCCATGACTCTGACAGATAATCAAGAACAAAACAATGTGATGGAGAACAGAATTAGCTGGCTGCTGATAAATCTTCTTTGCTACAGGGCATACACATAAGCAAGCACATGCCATTTAGTAACAGGAAGAAATAAAGGAGGTTTTTTTTAACCACTAAGATTTCTCTACTAATATATATATTGTTCAACTAAGTTTTGAAGACTGGAAGAGAGTCCATACCTTCTTAATACAGGAATAAAATGTTTACCAGTAGTTTTAAATGAGGAAAACTTTAAATAATATTACAAAATAGTAATGACCTTATAATCTGCACATAATTCCTGGAAAAAAAAAACCTTAGGTAATTTGTATTTGAAAGTAATTTTCAAAGGTTCCTGCTTTGAAAGTCACAATCCTCTGTCATACTTCTGCTTGACTCAAAGATACTTAAATATAAGCGTCAAATTAAAAAGTTAATTTGTTAAACTAACAACTCACAGATTATGCTAGCAGACAGGAAGGGAGGGAGGAAATTCTTTGTTTCTAGCACTGGCGTCTTGACAATTCTATGGATTTAATCTTTATATCATTTAATAGGATTTAGCAGAGATTTTAATTAGGACAGATTAATGGTCTAATCTTAGGAGAAAAAGAGAAAAACAGTTCCCTGAGAAACAAAACATGTTACCTTTAGTAGGTGTATTCTCAGTAGGTTAAATACTAAGCACTAAGGGACTGTTGTCTAGACTTATGCCTTGGAGCCTGCTGGATTTGAGAAACCTGTTAAGTTAATGTGTTTTGGGCACAACTTTCCTTCAGCGAGCTTCAGAGCTACAGTAACAGGTTCCAAAAGCAACCTCATGACTGTGAGAAGCTGTTAGAATATGCAAACTGACAGGATCAGCAGAATTCTTAGTAGTATATATTCTAATGTGAAAAAGAAAATAAAAAAGCAACCTTCTACTCCCAGTTTAGAAAACATGCACAGTTGGGTCAATTATTTATTTATTTTTAAAGGTTTGGGTGATTTTTTTCTGCACAGTGTCACTTTTTATACATAATAACGAGACAATATCCATCTTAGTTTTGATTTGTAGCATTCAGTATCAAAAGTATACCTGTAACATTTGAAAAAGTTACATTTACAAAATTGGCACATTGAGTAAGATTTATTAAAGCTTTAGTGATAACATCTATACAACGGCAAGAAAAATACCACGTTAATTTTAAAGGAAGCAGCACGAAATTTTATTATACAGTACAAAGTTGGTGTTAGATGTCTCTAAAGATGATATTGTATTGTAAATAGTAACTTTATTCTCATCTTAAAATATAGCGTCAATTCTAACAGAAATGTTCTAAAAGACCTCTTCCAAGCTTTTGCCAACAGAGTATAATCCTCAAGATACTTTATACTACAGCGTTCATTTCAACAAAATATTTACTGCAAAGTTCGTGATCGCCAAGATATAAAGCTAAAATATGTATTTCCAGCATAGCAGGAGGTAACCATGAAGGCAAAGAACTGTAGAGAGAGGGGAAAAATTATATTAGAAAAAAAATACATATTTGAGAGGACTCATTTCTATGAAAAAAGCAGTTCCGGGATTTGGCCAAAGGAGAAATAGCAGGCTGACTAAAACAGCAGTCTTTCACCTCATTGTACTTCTATGGCCATCCCAGTAACCATGCTGTAAGTAACCTTACATCATGTATAGAAATATGGGCCTAGAAGCAGACAAAACATGGCATATTTCAACTCATTTCTCCACATTATACTGCCTCAGTAAGGATCTTATAGATTGGACTCCCACCAATCCTACACTTGCTGATTGTAACATCAATTGCTGGTAAAGACCATGGGATCATCCATGGGACAGTGTGAGCTCAAGGTAACACTCCTGCACTGCTGCTGTGTTCCAGGAATTGCCTGCAGCCCACCTGTACCTCAGTATAGCACATTCTGCATCAAAATAGGTTTGTTTACAGAGAAAACTTGGATTCAAATGCAGGTCCAGACATGTTGTCAAACAGCAGTGCCAATTAGGTTACCAACTCCAGAGGATCTCTACTGATGAATAAAGGTATTCCTTGGTGCAAATAATTGTGACAGCAACCACATTGAGATATTACTACTTTATCAGAAACTGATTACAGAATAAGCCTTCTGTAGCAGGCTACATTTATTTTATGTTTTAAGATTAAAACTACTCAGTATCCATGGTGTTGCTTCTGCAGTCCTTGGAGCATATGCACACAGAAAGCAGCGAGCAGCTGTGAACTATTTCAGTTATACTGATAAAGTCCAATTCAGTGCCAGTGGTTAAGTTCCTGTTAATCACTGCATGTTGTTCAAAATAGACAATGTTCAAAACAGTCTTATGATAAGACCAGAATGTTTTGTGCTGGTAACTGAACCAAATAAAGCTGACCCTGCAAACAGGATTAACACTACTTTTCTTAGAGGTGAACAATGATAGGACAAGAGGGAACAAATGCAAGTTACAAGAATGGAAATTTCAATTAGATATTAGGAAAAAAAAACCCAAAACAACAGGAAGAGTAATCAAACATGGCAACAGAGGCCCAGAGGCGTCGTGGAACAGCCATCCTTGGAAATAATCAAAACTCAAGTGGACAAGGCCCTGGTAGCCTGGTATGAGTTAGTCCTGGTACAAGTT